CTATGATCTTTTCATCCATTGTCATGTAGGACGGACATTGAGAGGGGGGGCGCCACCTATCCAAAAGGTGGTCTGGGGCAGCATTAAAATCCCCAGCTATGATTAAGGGAATGCCAACCGACAAACGAGGAGTGATGTTTCCAAAAAAAACTTGTCTTCCTCCTACCTCATTTGGCCCATATACGCAAAGAATCCGTACAATCTCTAGTTCAAGCATGGCTAACACATAGACCCACCTACCTTGTTCCTGATCTGCCAATGAGTAGGCAATCTCTGCTCTGGAGTTGGGAGGAATCCATATGGCCACCCCCGAACTCCCTGGAGTAATAGCACGAGCTCTATATGCTTGGTGAGGCCATATCTGTTTATGAAGGTTATTATGCATATCAGAATCCATTAAGTGCGTTTCCTGTATGCATATCACATCTGGCCACTCCTTACCATTAATGCCTTTTATCTGTTCATAAATTGCTTGTCTTTTACTTATTTTGGCAGACGCTAGACCATTCACATTTAACGAACGTAGATCAAGGTCTGCTTGCCGCCTAAGCAATTTCCATTCTTTGTCTTTCTTATAAAGGGCATCAATAATTCTAATCCCTTCCATCAAAACAAAAGGGAGCGATCAGAATGACTAAAATAGGAAGTAGGCAATAGTAAGAGGTAATAACCTTCTAGATATTATTCCATTGCCCAGAATCCAACACCCCTCCTTTGTCTATTATGCCATGCTTCAGTATTCTTGCAAGAATGATCCCCACATCCTCCTCAGACCAGAACATGCCAGCTTTAATTTTAAGAATTTGAACCTCTTTCAGTGCCTCCTGTCCAAACCATTTTAATTCATTTTGCCTCGCCTCTTCATACTTCATGTAAACATCTCTCTCTGCTACCTTTTGTTCTTCCGCTGCTAGGGATAGGATAGCCACAGCCCCTGGAGGGAGGTTTCCTTTTATGAGTTTCACTATTTCCGTTTTAATCCATGATTCTCCCGCCATACCACCCGTTAGTGACACTAGGGAAAAAAATTGGGGTTTGATTCCTTGCACTGTTATTTCTCCATATACCGCACCCTGTGGTTCTGACAAACCAACCTGCCAATTCCCCCCTTTACATCTGACAGGTAGAATGAGAACTCCTGTTTTAGATGGTGGTAGATCCCCTTGACCTTGAGCCATCCTTTGTCTGAGTTTCTGCCTTTTGCTAGTAGCAATCCGGTCTATTGATGAAGAGTCCATTTTTCCCTTCTCTCCTGTTTCGTCCTTCTTATGTGCCGCAGACATCTCTTTAATAGGAACCTGATTGGTTTCTCTTCTTGCTTGGCCTGTCAAGAGCATAAACTTTCTTTCTCCTATTATCTCAGACACAATTTCCTTAATTTCATGAGCAGCGTTTACACTCTCCTGCATAGCTGGTTTAGGAGGACTATCCTCACAGACCTGAGACAGCAACTGGGGATGCCTGATTTCCTCACAAAGCGATATACTACTAGCACCTAATACTTCTCCACTATCACTGTCCCGAGATTGGAACGATACCATCGTAGATTGTGGGAAAAACAATGTTCCAGATGTTGCTGGCACATAATTAATCCCAGTAGATTGTAACACAACCTCGTTAGGACTGAGATTTTTTTTTTCATTTTGTGAAATTACCGCTGCCTCCTTTTGGTCCACCCCCTGGCCTTTGCCATCACCCAATCCTGTTTCCAGGTTCCCCCTTATGGACTGCTGAGCTTCTTGCGAGGGTGTGTTGTCCAAACAGGGTGTCATGTCCAAACAGGGTGTCGTGTCCAGCAAGAACCCTTGAGTCTTATTCAGTGCCTCACGATCACCTACCTGGTCCACAGATGAAGTACAGGATGTCATGTCCAAACAGGGTGTCGTGTCCAGCAAGACCCCTTGAGTCTTATTCAATGCCTCACAATCACCTACCTGGTCCACAGATGGAGTACCCTCTTGCAGTACCATTCGAGATGAGGAATGATTCGATGACTGTAGAGGGCAGACAAATTTTGTGTGTGCTGGCATTATTATTATTATTATTTTTTTTTTTGTTTTTTCCAGTTCCCACACCGTTTTTGCTCAACATTCTGTACTTGAGTCTGGACTTACAGGGAGTGATGGCCAAATGATGTAATTTACTGTGGACAGATCCACACCTAAATGACGAGTCCTCCTGCCCTTTAATCAATTCTCTTCCTTTCGTTAGACATTCTTGTACACTCTTTTCAGCGCACCTGCACATTTTTGCCAGGGTGCAAGGAACGTCTAAGTAAGACCCTCACGACAGATACGATAACTGTCATAAGGTTGCGGGCGATGGTAGCAACCCTCCCGCTGATCTACAGGACGAAAACCATTCAGGTAAGCAACTTCGTCACAGCAGGAGCTAGTGCGGCTAGCATTAACCATACCTCGAAGCATGCACGACAGAGGGCATGCCGGTTGCATGCCATGACGATTGTGGGNTTCGTCACAGCAGGAGCTAGTGCGGCTAGCATTAACCATACCTCGAAGCATGCACGACAGAGGGCATGCCGGTTGCATGCCATGACGATTGTGGGGCGTTCACCATCAAAGTTAAGTGCACATTCACTATAGCGCCCGCAGACACAGATGGGACATACTGCATCTGGATGTAGAAGATGTTCACGATCCGGATACAGGTGGCATCCCTACCGACATCGGGCCCGAAAAAATTATACGGTTCGTCACAGCAGGAGCTAGTGCGGCTAGCATTAACCATACCTCGAAGCATGCACGACAGAGGGCATGCCGGTTGCATGCCATGACGATTGTGGG